GAAGGAGACAGTGGCTCGGAGACGGGGGACAAGACTCCGGAAGATGAAGGAGCAGGGGTAGGTCCATCCTATAACCTGACATAAAAGGAAGGCAGCCCAGAACTTGAAGATTGGTTCAGAAAGCGCATGAAAAGACTTTATTAACAATAAACCAAAGGGACACTACTAATACATTAACATTTATATTTGTTTTTCACAGGTTAAGATGAAAGACGATTGACAACTCACAGAAGAAGCCAAAAGAAGATTTGTTTAATACTAACAAAAGATTAACATACTAATAGAACATCACTCAAACTTTTCTTAGTCCAGCTATATACCCTCCCCCTTCCTGATATTAAAAGTAATATATTCTCTCCTTTTTAGGAGAGTTAATAAAAATAATAATAATAAAAAATAATAAAGGAGGAGAACTGGTGACATTCAGAGGGGACTATCATGGCTTTTAAGCAGGCAGTTCTAAGTCCTCTGGATGCCAAGTAAACATTTCCCCAGGAAAGGAAAAACAAGGAGAGTTAATAAAAATAATAATAATAATAAAATAATAAAGGAGGAGAACTGGTGACATTCAGAGGGGACTATCATGGCTTTTAAGCAGGCAGTTCTAAGTCCTCTGGATGCCAAGTAAACATTTCCCCAGGAAAGGAAAAACAAGAGGGAAACCATCTGGTTGTTGCTAGTTTTCCCTGTCAAGTGGGCCTCCTGCCAAGTAGTCATTAGAGGTAATTAAGGGGAGGAAACAATCTAATATATTCATTATGTAAATAAACAAAGACGATTAAAAGGAAGAAGAAGGATGACAAGTGTTGAGATACCTCCGTTTCTTGCAGAGTCCCACGATTTAAGCACACCATGTCGGGACAAGTGATGGGCGAGCCACATGCTTCACGAATCGCCAGCTGCATGTACTGTTTTAGGCACTAAACATGAGAAGGGGAACAAAAGTTAAAAAGATACAATTCAGTTACAATCCATATTTAACACAGGAGAAATAGAAAATGGGGAACACGTGCTCTGAACCAGCAGAACCACGTGGACTCTAGCTGCAGATCTAGAGTTTAAAGATGGAGGTAGGGTATGTGGACAGCAAGCTGGGCATAAGAGGGTTAAAGCTTCGATAGGGGTCGTGGAGAGGGTAATAGAAAGAGACCATGTGGTCGGGCAGTATCTTTTATAACGTGGTGTGGGGAGGCTGGCTAGGCTGGCCACATCCCCCTGTGACACCTTCTGTTAGTCCGTCCCATAAAACATACTATTGGCTGGCTGGAAGAGGGGAGGGGGACTAAGGAGTGGTCAAATATTGAGAGCTAGAAACTTGATCTGGGAACTGGCACCTGGATGAAGGATGATTGAATCAGGAAGGCTGAATGAATCATCAGGCTAGGGCTATTGTCTCTTGATTAGATTTGTAGGTTGCTGGAAGAGGAGGGGGGGAAAGAGAGAGGTTGCCTACATGTGCTGGAAGAAGCTCCTAATGGCGTCTGGAGTTCTCTGTCCTCATGTTTTCCATGGCATGGCATCTGAGGCTTTGTGCTGGCTTATGGAACTGCTTCATCTCACAGCAGGCGAGATGGCTGGTGACTCTGGACTATCACTGTAGCAGCAACACTAAAGGAAGGTGTCCCTCTTTCAGGTGTGCAGTCTCAACAGGTATTCCCAGGTCTCCATATTATACAGTCCCTTTGCACAGTTCATATTCCATAAAAACACATTGATAGGCTTGCATGGCAACACCTGCATGGCCAGAGGTGATCTCAGGATCTTGACCAAAACTGGGACCTCAGAGTGCATCTATGTCTTTTTCCAGCAGGCCATGAAGAGCATAATGAAAAGGAAGAATACATACACCTGAGAATTAAATGTAAGAGGCCACTGCCTCCCATTTGTCACCTACCCCAAACTCCAGGCTCCCAGGCATTCGAGTCGTCAGTGTCTCAAGGAGGAGACCTACGTTTTATAAGATTACAGCTCATGGAATTAAGGAGGTAAAATTAAACTAACATTCTTGACTCAACAACCATTTGTTGTTGACTCAACAACCATTTTTGGCCACTGTGTGACAGAGTGTTGGACTAGATGGGCCATTGGCCTGATCCAACATTGGCTTCTCTTATGTTCTTATGTTCTTATGTTAATATCCTCATTTGACGACATTCCCAAGAAGTGCTAAACTTGCAGTTTTTAAAAGTTTCCTCATTGCATTCGGTGCCTTTCTAAAGAAAAACCCAAATACTTTATTTCAAACTTGCTTGAATTTATTAAATATTTCCTTGCAATGTGCTCAGCAATACTGGTATAGTAGTATGGGGGGGGGCAAGATTAGTAGTTAGGATGTTCTAAATTTTGAAAGCTTAGTCCAATCAACAATACATAGTATATAATTTTCATTTCTAATATTGTTATTGCAGTGCATTATACCAACATATGTTGCATTTCATATATATCATTACACACACACACACAAGCAGGGGACCCACAAGATTCATGAGGAGGAGTCTCATCCTCCCAATTGCTTGCTAGGCCACCCACTTGCCAGATGGGCTACTTGTCTGTAGCACCACCACCTCCACCTCCCTGGCTCCCAGAACAGAGGTGGCTCCTGCTCCTCTCCTGCCTACCTGCAGCACCACTGCCTTTGCCTGCTTGGCTCACACACACCCCATCTACCCATCCACCCCAGCCCCGTAGCCAGGAATTTTTTCAGGAGGGGACACTGAGGGGGCACCGCTAATCTAATTGAATTAAATTAAATGACCTAATCTGCAGGCCCCTCCAGGCCTGCGGGGAGGAGGCCAGGGCTGGGTTTGTAATCTTGCAGCTACATTCGGATAGATGTTGGGGCCTTGTCAGGCAGGGAGGGAGAGGTGGGCAGCACAGCCAGCTCCTGGCTTAGATAGGCTGCTGGGATAGAGACATATGTCAATCAGAGGTCGGGGCCCCGGGTTGACCCCAGCCGGCTCAGCACCTCATCCCCACAATGTGCAAAGCTGGAGAGAAAGAGCCATTGACTCCTGAGTGGGCTCCGTTCTTCCTCATCATCATTAAAGGGGGAGATTGGGCGGGGGCACAACAAAATTGATAGCAGGCACCACCTGTGGCACCCCCCACTGGCTACAGCCCTGATCCACTCACTTGCCTCCCACAGTGCACACCACTGCCTCTGTCTGCCTGGCACATGTAGCTCACATGGCAGCGGGAGCAGAAAGGCAGCACAGCAGTGCTGCAAGACCTGATTTTTCCCCTCGGTTAATTTTTTTAAAACTTCTTTTTTAAATCTGCAAATATGGGAGCTGATGCAGGTTTGTAGAAACACCCTCCCAGCCCGTACCTGAACCAGTGTGTGGATTTAATGATCTGAAGACCAAGCCCCCAGTTCTAAGTTTTTATATATTATACACAGAGAGTTGCATCCATCAAAACAGAGCATGCAAACAAGTTTTTCTGTTACATGCAAGAGAGAGTTGTCACTGCTTAGTAGCACATATCCATGCCGCTTCTGTAACTTTGAAGCTAGGGAACCAGCTGGGGAGAAGCCCCTCCCATTGGTTCTTTCCATTCTATTCCTGTTACCAACGAACCACAGAACAGGGAACAAACAGTAATGTAAGAACTGACTGATATGTAATAACTTTTTGGCAGGGAGGAGACAGGGCAGGAAGGAAATTCACAAATTCTGACTTGATACATTTCTGGAAACAACAATATAATTCCTTTTAAGAGGTCTGTCGCTCTTTGGTTGTAGGCTGTAAACAAACAAAAGATTTATCCAGAACAAATGACAGATCCATCTTCACTGTCCTAAAGCTGACCCCGCCGAATAAGTTTGTGATTTTTTTAAAAAAATGTATGAATAAATTAGAGCTAAGCCTAGTACAATTAATAATGCTTTGACAGCATTGGGGTTTTCAAAAGTCATATTTTAAGGGATTTACAGTGCAAACCTAAGCAGAGTTACAGCTGTCAAAGTCGACTGAAGTCAGTGGGAGAGTGTGACTCTGTTTAGGATTGTACTACTAAGCCTTTGAAGTTATACTGTCAGAAATTTTATCTATTATTTATTTACTTTATTTATAGCCCATCTTTCTTGCTGATCTTGTCTAGTTTTGCTCCCTGCCTTGGTGTGGTATTCAACTCACCAGATAATTTTTTTAGATTAAAAGGGGGGGGGAACCCTGCAAAAATACACATTCCATACACAAAAGAGTAATAAAACACATACACACTCAAAAGCTGTAGTTTGGAGTGGCTGGGTAGAGATAAGGAGGTCTCAGTCCTTTCCACACCAGCTGTTTTTCCAACTCAAAGGTCTTCACCTACCAGAAATGGAAGATTTGTATTCACTTACCTTGAAGCTTCCTTCCAGAGTGGGGCAGTCCTTGACTCCTTACTCCTGGGAAAGCACCACCCCCTTCTGTAGGCAGGGCCGGCAAACTTTGATCCCAGAGGGGAGGGGCTTATCCTCTGATCCCCAGTCATACTGAAAGCCATCTCCGAGCTTCTGTAAATTCACTTAAAAAATAACTCCTTCCCCCTCAGACAGCTGGGGAATACCAACACAGCCATGGGCTTAAACAAATACAAACCCGTATTTTAACCGTTAGAGCAAACAAACAGCAACAGTCCACCACATCACGTAATCAATTAGACCATATTCATGAACAGCTGAACCACTGCACAACGTAAAGGACCGGAAGTCGTGTCCATCAAGAGAGGGTGGGTAGGACTGCCCCACTCTGGACCACCGAGAAGGAAGCTTCACGGTAAGTGAATACAAATCTTCATTCTCCAGTGGTCCAGGAGTGGGGCAGTCCTTGACTCCT